AACCTCATCAATAGGAGGGCTGCGTTCTACACAAAATGCAAAAACAAAAGTCAACAACATCACACAGATATTCCACCTAAATAGGAAAGAAAATGAACTTCAAGCATTTGATCTGCCCCCACACCAATTGATAATAGCTTCCTAAATTGAGTAGTAGCCTCCAATTGCAGTGCGGGATCATCAGACCAAACTCCTTGCACTAGTGCGGGGATACTTTCCAACTGTTAAACAACACGAACGTCAATTAAGACCAAATTTTTTAATATAAGATCAGATAGCAAGAAGAGGAAACGTAAAGAGTCAACTTTATCTCATTCATGATTCTCCTTTTCCCAGACTTAAACAACGAGAAACCCAATTACAGAACTTACTCCGAATAAAGAGGGGCATTATTCGATGCGTTAAATGTAAAAAAAACACTTCATTTCAACATAGAAACAATGAACTACTAACTTGCTGCTTCCGGTTATCTTCTCGACACTATTACAGTTTCGAGCAATGTTTTACTCAAATCTTCAAAAACCAAAAGAAACTTAAGATATTATGTATGATTCAGCACTTCCCAAACTAGTTGTACTACTCTTTCAAAACATTGGGGGCACAATGCTCAATAATTCAAAAGAATAAGAAAAATAACAGTTAAAACTTCAAACTAAAAAAACCACTTTTACTTCCTTTCACTTGCCCACATTTTCTCTGTACCCAAGCAGAATAGGAAAACAAATCCAATGAAATCCGAAACACGCATACATACAGAGATTCAACAGCCCTTTACAATCAATTTCTTATAAAACAGTAATTCCCATTTCAATTTCTTCCCCTTTCCTTCACTTTCTTAGCAACCAAGCATACCCAGATAAACTAACTAAAATCCCACAACCATCAAATCCCCGAATCCTCGAGTTCAAGAACCCCAAAACACAAATTAAAGCTAATGATTTCCAAATACAAAAGCAGCTAAAAACGAAGAAGTACCCTCTTCTCCAAAACGACGGCGGATTGGGAGCCATCAAGCAGCTGCTGCTGGGACTGACTCAACCCTTCCCTCCTCTTCTTGAGCAAACTGTCCTCCCGCTTGTTCTTCCTGATCTCCACCAAGTTGTCCTCTCTCCTCCGCCGCGCCTCCTCCGCGTCCACCCCCGTTTTGTACGATTTCTTCCGCACATCCGTGCGCGTGCCCGGCCGCAGAGACATTGCGCTTCCCGATTCTCGAGTTTCGCTTCGCTTCTAGGTCCCTGTGAAATTGCGCCCGCGGAGTGTTTGATGAAATTACTCAGAGACGGCCGCAGCGAAGCAAAAACGGATTCGGGTCTGGGGTTTGGCCGAGATCGTATGTACGTGGTATGTATCTATATACGACGCGCATACGGAATCAACGGTCCACCTGGGAAATAACAACTTGCAATTCAAACGATATGAAGAATCTTGACCGTCCATTGCATGCCGCCTAGTTTACGGAATCAAACGTTGACACGTGTTGACGAAATGTCTAAATTCACATGGACTCACCGCACAATTAAATTAATGATTTTATTTTCTTTTTCAAAGCCAATTACCAACTATTCAAAAAACCAAAAAAATTCAATTATCAAGCGATTGATATGACTGAGTTTTGAATTTTTTTGGTATCAGGATTGGATTTTCAATTTGATGATTGACAAATGCTTAATTTGTTTACTCAGCCAAATCAGTTTGAGTTTTAATTTATCTTGATTGAATACAAATTAATTGAAACTGTTTAATTTATTAATCTTTATTTAAAATTATTTTTATAAAAAAATTATTTGAATTGGAGAGCTTTTAATCAAATGAATCAAACGAATCAAATCATTCAAAAATACTTGCATAAACCGCTCATGAATATATATTACATGCTAATTAGTACATATATCGTCGATTTATGTACATTTAAATGACTACATAATTTTTTGTGAAAGTAATGTTTACATAATTTTTTTATTAAAATACGTTATTTGCAACGAGGGAGAGTATTATCCAACCAATAAAACAACGCCGCTAGTCAAAAACAAATAATTCAATCTTGCTCGGCTTTTTAAATTTTCCCTCCAAACTTAATTTCAAATAACTTCATATTTGTCTTATTCCCAAGAATTCCACCGAAACAGCTGTCGCGTCTCCTGAATCTGGACCGTCCAAAACTCACTAGACCCCACTCCGCGACTTACCAGATCACCCTCAAGAACTATCAAATTACCGTTATACCCTCATCCTCCTCCATATATAAATCCCCCCGCCTTCACTCCTTCTCGGACTCTCTGTCTCTATTCACAAACACAGACTGCAGGAGAGAATGTCTTGGTGGCGGTCCACGTCAGCATTCCGGTCCCGGAGTCTTCTGGAGTGGTTCCCGGAGCTGAGCCTGTCGATCGTGGACGACGTCGTTTGGCCGCTGGTGACGGCGTTCGAGTCCGTGGCCTTGGTCTCCATGCTCTTCTTCTTCTTCGTCTTCTGCGGCTGCACCGTCTGAACCGATTTCCTCTCCTAGCCGTCCCTACGCGCGTGACTTCAGTTGCGAAGGGGCTGGAGGCTGGAGTGGCGAGATTCTCAGAGGCGGAGATGCCGATGCTCAAACTGGGGGGAAGCGTTGAGCACGTGACTTGTGTATCACGTGAGTTTCGTGAAAATTTTGTATTTTCCTTTTTGTTTATTAGTGTAAGAAAGAGGAAGAGCACGTGACAATCATTGGCATTCTCATTGGTGTCCTCGAGAGCAAATCGTTCCAAAAGAACTTAATTAAGTTTAACCGACTTAATTAGCTCATAACAAGTTAATTAAAAGTCGATTAGTGAATCGTGTATGGCTACACGTGGACTTTCAATGAATCGTGTATGCAATTTAACGAAGTTCATGAGACTTGTTATTAAGATTTCAATGGATTCTCATGAACTTTGAAGAGGTCCGTTTAATGTGCATTTCCACTATTGCAAATTTTTAATATTTGAAATGGTAGTGATCTGTGTCATGTGTGATGATGGTGGCTGTATATCTCAAGGTGATGGGAGGAGGTGGTGATGGCGGTGACACGGTACGTGGTGGTGGTGGGGATGCTGGTGAAAGTTGTGGTAGCGATAGATGTAAGGTGGTGGAAGTGGTGGTAGTGGTTGTTGTGACAACGCTACGGTGGTGGTGACACAAATTCGAAATAGTTAATACAGTGGATCACTTGGACTTCCATATTTATCTTTATGGAATGGGCTAAAGATTATTACAATCAGAACATGACCTCAAAAGGAAATTACTTGCTAGAAAAAAATAGAAAATTCAAATATAATAATCACAAAGTTACAAGCCTTTGAAAGAGAACGAAGATCCATAGAGACCGATGCATCCACTGCTATAAGATCATGTGAAAGATGTTTTTTTTCTTCAAAACAATTAGAAATGGATTCAAAAAACACAATCAATTAATTCACCTATCATACTCTGGGGTGGATCCCCTCGATTTTAAACTCATTTAAAATCTCAATTCAAGATTCCCTTTTCAGTTGGATAGATTTTCAACTCGAAATACGGAGTAGTACTTCATATGTAAGATGATTGCCCTTTAAGGAATTCAAACACAAAAAAATTGAAAAACGTTTTGTAAATTCAGGCCTAACGAATCAATAATGCAAAAATTATCAAACCTAATGGAAACATAAAAAGTACAAACCTTACCAAAATGACTAGACCCAATGAATTAAAACATAAAACATACAAATTGAAGTACCGAATCTGTCGGACCTAATGAACAAAAACCTAAAAAAAACAAACCGTACCAAATTGATCGTACCGCATCTATCGGACCTAGTGAACTAAAACATAAAAAATACAAATCGTACCAAATTGACTGTACTAAATCTATCGGATCTAAACTATATAACGTACCTAATTGATCATATTGAAATTATCAGACCTAAATTAGTGCATTTTCCACACAATATCAAATTGAATAAATAAAATAAAAACAAAACAAAACAAAATACAAAAAGTAGATAGTTTTTTTTTATTTTTTTGGTCAATAAAAAAAAAGTATGTAGTTATAGATAATAAAAATCACATTTTTTAAACAATGAAGATGGATGTTACTTTTATGGGTGATAATGAATTAACGGCTACATTTTTCAAACTTTGATAGTGGAGGTTACATTGTAGACAATACAGATGACATTTTTGTAAAAAACATGTGGTTTTATTGCAGTGACATCATGATACATTAAAAGATGGATCTCTTTTAGATATTGAAAATCTTTCAAGTTATATTCTAAAAATCATCTTTGAAAAATTCTTATCTTTAAAAGCCCCCCTTTTTTAACCTTCTGCACACCACTATTAATTTTAACCATTGATTTTACTTTAATTGTTGAGTCTAATGGCTACAAATTTAAGGGTGTATATGAAATGAAAATAGTGTGTTAAAATCATGTCCATTTTATGATTGACATAATAAAAAATCATGTCCATTTTAATAATTGTGAAGAAAAAAAGAGAAGCATTCACAGATCTTGGATTAAGGAGAAACTAAGGTCTCTAATATCATTGACATAATTAAAACAATAAAAACGTAAACCCCACTATCATGGGAGAAATTCTTCAGTGTGATTGGTACACATAGTGGTACACCATATGTCATTATACAAATGATATGATATGTGCATTAAAAAGTTAATAACTTAAAAAATAAAATTTCTAACCACTTATATAAAAACACGTGGTGTACCTCTCGTGTGCCGGTCACAACTAAAAATTTCTCCACTATCATGGGAGAAATTTTTCAGTGTGACTGGTACACGGGATGGTACACCACGTGTTATTATATAAATGATGAGATATGTGTGTTAAAAATTTAATAATTTAAAAAAAATAAATTTTCCCACTACTTATATAAAAACACGTGATATATCTCCCATGCTCCAATCACAACTAAAAATTTCTCCTATCATGGTGCGGTGTAGAATAATAAGAACAATTAAGCTCCAAAAACGAAGCTAACTTAGAGCATTCCGAAGAGCTTATTTTATTTTCTGGTACAGAAGAGGGCAAAGCCAGCAAACAAAACAAGAAAAAGCTAGGTAAGGACAGTCCTTGGAAAGGCCCTGCCGATAGTATCAGAAACTAAAACATTAGTAGCAGTGGTAGGAGGAGAAACAAACACACGACGACCAAAGATAAGCCATGACCCTAGTCAGCCATGTGGTCACTGGTCACCTCATTCATTTCTGCTAACCCTGCCCAGGAGCTTTTTGCCAATAAGATATGAAGCATAAACATCATGAATTGCGCACTTGATTTCTTGCTTTGAAAAAACCCGGGAATCCGCAGGAAAAGACCATACCTTTTCGTGGAGCTTTAGGACTACCTTCACAGCCCATCTTACTTAGACCTAGTTTGGGAGTGAGGTGCTTAAAAAAAAAGCACCTATGAAAAAAAGCTGTGAGGGTTTTAGGTGTTTGGTAAACTGAAAAAAAAGGGCTTATTTTGGAAGCTGCTGTGAGAATAAGCTGAAATCAAAGGAAAAAGCTGAAGCTGCTATTTGAAGCTTTGGAAAACTGACTTTTTTTCAAAGCACATGGAGCTACAGTGCTCCTTTAATGAAAGGACCCACTATCAGACTATTTTTTTTTCCAAAAGCTTTTTTACAAAAAAGTTTACCAAACGGTCTGCTGATTTATTTCACAGCCGCTTATTCTCACAGCAGCTTTTTTTCAAAGCACAGCAATACCAAACCAGCTCTTAGCTTGCCCGCCTTGTATTCTTCATCTGAAGAATCCTTGGCATCCGCAGGAGAAAGAAGTGAAAGAACCTTTCCTTGGGGCTTAATACCATCAATACCAACTTCAGCTGCCAATTCATGTAGCTTGTGCGTTTCGAGATCGCGTTTCTGCAGAACCCTTGCCGCCAAATGGCCAACTTCTACTCCTGCGTTGTACATCATATCACCCAAGCTGGGTTCCAAATACTTTTTTTTGTTCATTCCTATACCCACAAAACGGATGGTGCGATCAGCTAACAGCTTCCCAAGTCCGGAAACATTTGAATCACCGGGGTAGTAAGAGAACAAAGTTTGAAGATTTGGGATGATCAAGCAACGACTTCGAGCACAAAGAAGCAGCATTGAAGCCCGATCTGATTTATCAGCCTTCTTTATATCAAGTCCCATGACAGGCCCTTGCTTCATCAAGCTCCTCAGTTCCGTTATTTTTTGTCAATCACAGCAGCATCATCGACCACGCTAACCGTCACTTTGACACCATGAACTACAACTTCGTACATGTCCATTTTTAACAGAAATTGGAGAGGTATACTCATTCTTTCTGAAATTATCAATCTGTATTATGTATGTTCGGATTTGAACAAGTTATCATATGCTGTAAACCTGTAACGGAAAACAGTACAAGTTATTCTATGTGCTTGATATAAAAATGATTAAGAAAAATGACCTGTAACCTAAAACAGTACAATTTATTCTATGTAGGGCTGATTCGAGATGAGATCCCGACCTGAAAATGGGATCTGGAATCCCAAACCGATTCTTTTTTGGGATGGAAATCCCAATTCCAATCTCAAGCCGAAATTTCTGTATTCCTGAATTTCTGGATTCTTGAAAATATTTGGGGATTGGGATTTCGGTATGGTTTTGGGATTTCAATTCAATAGAAATTTGGCTTCTTATTAATGGAAGAAGCTGAAAAATTCAATTCAAACCTGCAGATCAAGCCGTCAAAGCGGAAAAGAAATCAAACATGCAACCCAGAAATCAACCATGGAAATCCAGAAATCCCCTAAAAATTAATCAAGAAATCCAAATCCAAATCGAAACAATCAAAAGTTCTAAATCATAAATCCCTAATTTATAAATCTTCATTTGTACCCTAATTCAGAAAAAACTTTAAAGAGGATAGAGAAGAAGATGGATCGATACTAGAGACGAGAGAGCTTCGAAGATTTGAAAGAGCTTTCGACAGTAACTCCTTCCTCTCTCTCCTCAACACCAGACTATTGCTCTATGACTCGAGAGTCAAAACCAAAACAAAAGCCCTTAGTCCACACGCCTTATTTTTGTGCCTTTCCTTTTTATATTATTTTTGTGCCTTCAGCTAGTGGCAGCCAAAAAGCTCCTGCTTTTGAGTTGGGAAATGAGAACCAAAAATCAAAAGTTAATAGGAAACAAAAGATTCGGGATTTCGGGATTACCAAACAAAGGAGATTTGGAACCCATACCAAATATGTGAGACTCCATAATTTAAAAAAAAAAAAATATATATATATATATATATTTATTATTATTATTATTATTTAAAAACAGTTGTTATTGGATTTTCTTATATATACATATTATTTCTACCTTTGGCTTAAGTTTCCACTTGATGTACTATAATATAACTAGGAACTCCCCATATGTATATTTATTTAGTTATTAAGTTTATGTCCTTCTCCAATGTTCTACTACATTCACTTGATAAACTTCAAGTTGTCAAGGTGTCTAGCTCTTATTCATACAAATCCTACCACTCATTAAACGGTACTCGTAAGCTTCTTTATAGCTTGAGCTGGCTAATATGATCTTTCCCTCTTCTTTTTGTATATCGACACCTCCTACTCTAGACATCCATTATCCATTTCACTTTATGGACTCTTAGCTATTAAGTTTTCTCTACCATAGGTTCTACCAAGAAAGAATGAGGATGGTTGCCGACTTTGTCTCCTATAAATAGCTTCCACCCTTATCAAATTTATGGACATTATTTATCAACCTTTTCCCCTCTTTGTCATGTTGCATGCAGCCAAGAGTGGAAGAAATACATGATGATTTAGGAGTGATCAAGGAACTTGAATAAGTACATGGAGCTTAGCTATTTCGGTAGTGATGTGGATAAGTACGTAGAGCTTAGTTATTCCGGTAGTGACATAGATCTTTATTCTAGCTTTGGAATCCAGGTAGGGACTTGAATAATTTTTGGACTTAATCTAGTTTAAGTGTGAAGTCCAAACTAAAACTAAAAGAACTTAGTTTATTTTAAACATAAGGCCTAAACCAATTAAATGGCTTAGGTCCAAATTGAAAGGAACTTAAAGGTGGGGCTGGCCCAACAGATTAATTTAAATTATTATTATTCTTTTTTTCTTTCTTTTCGGAAATGGGTTTTGGGTTTGGGCTGTCAACACAGCCCAATAATCTAGATTTTAAACCTGGGATCACACTTACAAACCTAAAACATTGGGCTCCTAGTTGGGCTAGGATCAAATTGGCCCAACAGATTAACTCGCTAGAAACACATGAAGAAGAACACCGGATTTTGGGTGTTCTCGCCGGAACACTTTCCAGGTTCCGATTCGGGGTCAAAACTCAACCAAAAACCTTCATTCAAAAGCCAAAATGAATATCAAGGAGTAAGGATTTGAGCCTTACCAAGATGGAGTGATGTTACCGTCGAGATCAACCGGAAAAATCCCTAAAACTCACGGTCACTACCGGAAAATTTAAGAATTGTATTTCCCCCAATGATTCTGCATCCACACCATTCCAAAATGTCTCAAGACACCATTATCTAACCTAACACAATTTTATAACGGTCTAAGGTGCTTAACTTAGTCGAAAAGTTCGAGATCTCGTCGGAGATACCGCACGGAGACTACACAATATTAAAGGGGTGCGGAAGGGTGTATATGGGATGTGAGGGAGAAAAGGAGAAGTCTTGATAGTTGTAGTGTATGCAAGTACGTATGTGCGTGTGTGCTGTGTCGGGGACGAGAGCACTGAGAGGGGGGAGGTGCGGGAGAGTGTGAGGAAGAAACGGAAGTTTCTGGAATGGGGAGGCACTGGTGGAAAGGGTAAATAATAAGGCCCTTGATTGGCCATAGAGTTTAAGCCCTAAAAATGGGTCCAAAAATAAATAAACCAACCCAAAAATAGAATTTTGTTCATCCTCGTTCTTAATTCATGTTGACGTGCTCGTAACGTTGAGCACCATTTAATTTTGTGAGCAAGAAAATAATTTAAAACTATATATGTGCATCCAAGTCACCAAACCAACGAGGGCATAATCATCATTTTCACGCATTCGAGGATAAAATATATATATTAATTCGAGACGGGTCTTCACAACTTTCCTCTAATTAAAATCATGCATACGATTCTCACACTTCTTCTACTACATATAAAGAAAATTAGATTTTCAACTTTTCTTCTTCAACAACTCAAATATACTTCAATTTGAATGATGAATTATGTTCTAAAATTTTTATTGCTCAATATACATATTCATAGTGTATCGTATTTTAATTTTTATAAATTTTTTTCCTCAACAACTCAAATGTACTTCAATTAGATTCTTCTAATTTATCAAACCTAGTGAACTAAAACATAAAAAATACAAGTCGTACCAATTTGACCATACCGAATCTATCAAACCTAAACTATATAACGTACCAAATTTATCAGACCTAGTGAACTAAAACATAAAAAATACAAATCGTACCAAATTGACTGTACCGAATCTATCAGACTTAAACTATATAACGTACCTAATTGATCATATTGAAACTATGGACCTAAAATTAGTGTATTCTCCACACAATATCAAATTGCATAAATATTAAAAACAAAAAACAAAAAAGACAACAAAAAACAAAAATTAGGTAGTTATAGATAGTAAAGTTGTCATTTTTTAGACAACGAAGATGGATGTTACTTATATGGGTGATAATTAATGAATCAACAATAACATTTTTCAAACTTTGATGGTGGAGTCTACATTGTAGACAATATAGACGGCATTTTGTAAATAGTAATAAAGCATGTGGTTTTATTGTAGTGACATTATGGTACATTAAATGAATGATTTTTTTTAGATATTGAAAATCTTTCATGTTATATTCTAAAAATCACCTTTGACAAACCCTTATCCATAAAAGCCCCCTTTTTTACCTTGTGCACACCATTATTAATTTTGACCGTTGATTTTACTTTTATTGTTGAGTCTAACGGCTACAAATTTAGAAAGGTGTGTTAAAATCAAGTCCATTTTATGATCGACATAATAAAAAATCATGTCCATTTTTATAATTGCGAAAAAAAAAAGAGAAGCATTCACAGATCTTGGATTAAGGAGAAACTAAAGTCTCTATAACATCATTGACATAATCAAAACAATAAAAACATAAATCCCCACAATCATGGTGCGGTATAGAATTATAAGAACAATTGAGCTCCAAAAACGAAGCTAACTTAAAGCATGCCCAAGAGCTTGTTTTATTTTCTGGCACAGAGAAGGGCAAAGCCCAGCAAACAAAGCAAGAAAAAGCTAGGCAAGGACGGTCCTTGGAAAGGCCCTGCCGATAATATCAGAAACTAAAACATTAGCAGCAGTGGTAGGAGGAGAAACAAACACACGACGACCAACGATAAGCCATGACCCAAGTCAGCCATGTGGTCACTGGTCAGCTCATTCTTTTCTCTATAACCATGCCCAGGAGCTTGTTGCCAATAAGATATGAAGCATAAACATCATGAATTGCGCACTTGATTTCTCGCTTTGAAAAAACCCGGGAATCCGCAGGACAAAAGACCATACTTGTTCGTGGAGCATTAGGACGACCATTACAGCCCATCTCACTTAGCTTGCTTGCCAACTCGTATCTTTCCTCTGAAAAATCCTTGGCATCCGCAGGAGAAAGAAGTGAAAGAACCTCACTTTGTGGCTTAATGTCATCAATACCAACTTCAGCTGCCAATTCATGTAGCTTGCGCGTTTCGAGATCGCGTTTCTGCAGAACCCTTGCCGCCAAATGGCCAACTTCTACTCCTGCGTTGTACATCATATCACCCAAGCTGCGATGCAAATAATTTTTCTTGTTCATTCCTATACCCACAAAACAGATGGTGCGATCAGCAAACAGCTTCTCAAGTCCGGAAACATTTGAATCATTGGGGTAGTAAAAGAACAATGTTTGAAGATTTGGGATGATCAAGCAATGACTTCCAGCACAAAGAAGCAGCATTGAAGCACGATCTGATTTATCAGCCTTCTTTATATCAAGTCCCATAACAGGCCTTTGCTGCATCAAGCTCCTCAGTTCTGTTATTTTTTTGTCAATCACAGCAGCATCATCGGCCACGCTAACCGTCACTTTGACACCATGAACTTCAACTTCGCACATGTCCATTTCTGACAGAAATTGGAGAGGTATACTCATTCTTTCTGAAATAATCTGTATTATGTATGTTCGGATTTGAACGAGTTATTATATGCTGTAAGCCTGTAACCGAAAACAGTACAAGTTATTCTATGTGCTTGATAGAAAATTGAATAAGAAAAATGAAAGTCAGCTTTCCTATCTGCCGTCTTTAATTTGTTTATGTAAAGTCTTCTAATGCAATTCTTATCTGTTTATGTGCTGTTTTTACGAGGTTAGAGAAACCAAATTTTGATATCATTTTTTGTAAATCATTTAATGTAGCAGTTAATGATTGGTCTTCTTGCACTTTTCTTTTCTTAATGTATACTAGTATATGCCCACACATTTAAATGTTTTATTTTTGTTTTTAAAAGCGATATGTTATCCACACACCCCATTTTACTTCTCACACACCCTTGATAATTTTTGTCCGTTGATCTTCTTCAATTCATCCGATCCGACGGCTGAAAATTAAAAAGGTGTGTGAGAAGTAAAATGAGGTGTGTGACACACCCTTTTAAAATTGAAGGAGAGAGAAAGAAAGTGAGAGAAAACATGGGGAGTGGGGAGAGAGGTTTAGTATTTTATTTATTTATTTTTTTTTAAATTAGAGTTGTTAAAATCACCTGCAAGTGATGTTTAAACAAAAACAGCAAAATTTTATTTTGTGAAATTACGTTATTGCCTTTAACTTTTTTGTTGTGTCAAAATACTAAATTGTCTTTTTACCATTTTTTGGTTGACAAAGAGAGTTCTATTAATATGCATTTTAGATTGTAATCTTATAATTGAAAATAAAACAATTTATGCTAGTGGTCATTTACCACAATGGTAGAAAGATGTTGAGCACTTGAATAATGATATGAATTCAAATCATCCATCGTTTGACAAAAAAAAAATTATTCTTTGCAAATTATACTTGACATCGAAACAAATAAAAAATGAAAGTCAACTTTCCCATCTGTCGTCTTTAATTTGTTTATGTAAAGTATCCTATTCGATTTTTTTATTTCTTTTTAAATAAGAAAATTAATTCAAAGAAAAGCCTTGGAAACACTCGAGCAAACAGTCAAACATCAAAGCAACACATTGATGAGAAGAAGAGTCTGACATGTGCTTAAGTAGTTATGTTATTTCTCATGTAACCATTTGATTTTACGATGAAATCTTAATTTCCTTTAAGAAAACCCACAATTCTGTTATTTCTTGATTAATCAAAGTAGCGTCATGAACTAAATTAACCTTTACTTTGATACCAAGAGTTTGAACTCCGTACTTGTCCAATTTTGCAAGAACAGGGTACAAGCACATGAAGTTGCTCATATATAATCTTAAACACCAGCACCAGCACCAATGTCACTTTGAAATCGAAACGTTCATGTTTGAGAATCATGGAAATACTTGAAGCGTGAATCGAATTAACGTTCAATTTTGTCTAAAACTTGCTATAAATTTACATGAAGAATCAGATGTAAAACATTGAATCGTTGGAGGAAAAATTAAAGCAGAGAAAAAAGATTAATTTATATGATTGACTGTAGTGTTGTTGGAAAAGAAAGAAGCATCACAAATGAAAGCCTTCAAAATCATTGACGAAACCAAAACCCCAAACGCTCCAAACGATCTCACTTAAAGCATGCCCAAAAGCTTCTTGCCAATAAGGTAGGAAGCATAAACATCATGAATTGCATACTTGATCTGTTCCTCCGAGAAAGCTGTGGCATTCCAATCAGGAACAAGGCAAATTCCACCAACGCTGCGCCTGCAGGTGGCTTGATATCAAAACCAACTTCACTTGCCAACACCGCTAAACCACATTTTACAAGATCAGTACCTTAGCTGCCAAATCACCCAGGTCTGCACCGGTATTAAACTTCCCATAACTAAGCGTAGATCTGGGACAGTTTTGATTTATCAAACCTAGTGAACTAAAACATAAAAAATACAAGTCGTACCAAATTGACCGTACCGAATCTATCGGACCTAAACCGTATAATGCACCAAATTTATCGGACCTAGTGAACTAAAACATAAAAAATACAAACCGTACCGAATTGACCGTACCGAATTTATCGAACCTAAACTATATAACGTACCTAATTTATCGGACCTAGTGAACTAAAACATAAAAAATACAAGTCGTACCAATTTGACCGTATCGAATGTATCGAACATAAAATATATAACGTACCAAATTTATCAGACCTAGTGAACTAAAACATACAAAATACAAGTCGTACCAATTTGACCGTACCAAATGTATTAGACCTAAACTATATACGGTACAAAATTTATCAGACCTAGTGAACTAAAACATAAAAAATACAAATCATACCAAATTGATCGTACCAAATCTATCGGGCTTAAACTATATAACGTACCTAATTGATCATATCGAAACTATGAACCTAAATTAGTGGATTCTCCACACAATATCAAAGAGAGAGCATAGTTGCAGAAAGCAACGCATATAAGCAGAGAGAGCTGCAGAGAGCCCCAAAAACAAGAAGGAGCTGCTGCTCCATTTGTTTAGTTAGAATTCATCCAGGGACATCCGATAAAATTACGGGTTGGGTGTGTGAAGATGTTAGTTGGATTGTCTTGTCAAAACTAGGAATATCATCAAGGTGAGTGGTTTATGTAATATGTTGTAAATTATACTTATTTTCAATTATCTCTCTATTTTAAGTCAAGTATGTTGGATTTGTGAAAATGCTTTCGGAATTATTAATATAGAGATGTGGATATTTAGAATTGTTCGTGGAGTATGAGAACTTTAGTGTTGCATTAATCCGAGAGATAAATGTAAACTGCACACGGGGACATTAGGGCAGAATGACCAATAGAGTCACATGGTGAGTTACTATTTATGAAGGATATAATGAACACGTAAATGGATGATGTGATATGACACTACGTGCATAATGATTTGATATTATTATTATATTATATTTTCTATAGTGACTAACATTGCTTGACTGACATATTACATTCTACTCACTGAGTGACGTTGGTTGTTGCTCATCCCTCACCCTTTGATTTTATAGATGAGTTATTTGACAAGACAGGTGCTAGACGAGTTGAGGTTGTGTTAGACAGGGGATTTAAGAGTTTTTTCTTATTTTTGTACACTTTATAAGAATTTTGTAATGATTACTAGTTTAAGAGAAGTTTTTATTTTTCATTTTTACTTTTACTTGCGCATTGGGCGTGCGACCCCAGGTTCGGGGTGTGACAAGTATCACGCTGGTTCAAGTAAGTGCGGCGCAATATAGGAGGAAACTTGGGAGGGTTCTTTTCAGATTTGCAAGTAGGTTGACGCGGAAAAGATAATGGTTTTGAATTTTGGGAAATAAAATTTCGAAATCCATGAAATTTATGGGGGGGTTTTTTTTCTTCGGATTGAGAGCGAAAATAGAGAGATTTTTTACCGAGATTTGGGGAAGAAGAAGAATCAAAATAATTGGGAGAATTAGAGAATGAGGGTTTAGGGATTGGGAGGGTGGTGGCTGGTGGTTATGGAGATTGGAGGAGATGGAGGCATGTGGTCGAGTGGAAGAAGAGGGGTGGGCCCCATTTTATTTTGTTTTAATTTAATTTTGTATTTAAGTTTTTTTTTATATATAATTAATTATTTTTTATATGTCACACCATCAAAATATGTGTCCAATGCTTTTGCCACGTAATCAATTAACGGTTTGACTAATGAATATATGAAATTGCAACAAAATACAAGTTTGTGTATGAGATTGAAATGTTTTAAAAATATTATATGAGATTGTAATTACATTCAAAATTGAAGGGGTAAAATGTAATTTACACTATTTAATAATAGTACATATTTAAATGTGGGATATCCATCTTATTTCATTATTTGCACACATATATGTGTGTGATCTTACTTTACTTACACGTATAATATAGACTGATTCGGAGACCCGCAGGTCCTATTGTCAGGACAGTCGATCACTTCTTTTCCATCGTGGTCGTAACATACAACTACCTCAACCAATAATAACTCTGCTGATCCCTTTCGCTCTTTACAACGAATGGAGGGTGATTTATTCTGATTTTCTTTCTTAATGGCAGCCACAACTTGAGATGTGGTATAATTTTTAGGGGTGTGCGGGTATAATTTTTAGGGGTGTGCTATCCACACACCCTAAATTACTTCTCACACACCCCTTGTTAATTTCTATTCGTTGATTTTCTTCAATTCATCCGATCCGACGGTCGAAAATTAAAAGAGTGTGTGAGAAGTAAAATGGGTTGTGTGGATATCACACCCCAATTTTTACCTGGAACGATTTTCCTTTTTTTAAGCATTTGAGCTATGTCCAATGTTTTCCTCATCTTGTTGGCGAGCTCAAAGTATTTGGTCTGGTCGAAGATATCTTCGGAACACGTACCGTGCTTATTGTACTCGTGTTCCCAAAAGCCCCAATTCCTTCCCCTTTCGACATCCGGCCAAGAGATATTGAGTTCCTCTTCTAGCTCAGGCGGCATCTAAGTCAAAAATATGGAAACACATTTCATTGATGAGTAAAACACATTTAAAGTAAGAGTAAACTGTCGGTTTACCCCCTGAACTTTCACCTCACTTTCGATTTCCTCCCTGAACTTTTCTATTGGAAAATTAAGGACTCAAACTAATTTTTTTAGCCAATTTGCCCCCCACCGTTAGTTTTTCATATATTCCATCCATATTTCTATTAAGTGAGATCATGTGCACAACATGTGAGGGTAGTTAAGTCATTTCACTCTTAAAAATGATTAAAAAACTGAAAATAAAAAAAAACAAAACTTTCCCTCTATTTTTTCCCGCTAATTCCTATCATCGATTTTATTTTTCCCTCTCATTCCTATGCATGAGAAATGACATATGATGTTATTGTCTACCATTTTTATTTTCTCTAACAAATTAATAATTTGACAAATGATAATGGTGCTATTGTCTCCAAAACAGTGCATTAATATAAGAAACCCTAGTCTTTTTTATGGACATGTTTCTTATATTAATGTACTGCTTTAGAGACAATAACACCATGAACATTTGTCAAATTATTAATTTGTTAGAGAAAATAAAAATGGTAGTACATGCTTCAAGAAAAAGATTAACTTAGCTACTTATGAAGACAATAACACCATATGTCATTTCTCATGCATAGGAATGAGAGGGAAAAATAAAATTGAGGATAGGAATTAGCGGGAAAAAATAGAGGGAAATTTTTTTTTATTATTTATTTTCAGTTTTTAATCATTTTTAAGAGTGAAATGACTTAACTATCCTCACATGTTGTGCACATGGTCTCACTTAACGGAAATATGGATGAAATATATGAAAAACTAACGGTAGGGGGCAAATTGGCTAAAAAAATTAGTTTGAGTCCTTAATTTTCTAATAGAAAAGTTCAGGGGGGAAATCGAAAGTGAGGTGAAAGTTTAGGGGGTAAACCGACAGTTTACCCTTTACAGTAATTTAACCCTTATTTATGACGGAGTACTCCAATATGTAGCTGGAAAAAAAAATTTACCTTGCTTTTACTAAAATTTGTTCCGGTGCAAATCAACTTTTTTCCGGAAAAATTTGACGGCCACAGGCCGTGGATTGTAAATTTGGTCAATCGGCTATTTTTGTTCACAGCTTTCGGCCACTGCTGTGTGAACATGAGATACTCGTATGGTGTGGCACCCAAAGTTTGAGTGGGGAAGTCGGAGGAAACTGGAAGAAGAAATATTGCAATGAGTGTGTATAAATTGTATAATACTAATATTGCAAGGAGTATGTATAAATGGAATAATAGTGATGACATGATCGATGATATTAAGCGGACTGATTTAGTTATCGATCAGTGTTTTACTACAACCTTATATTGACATATTCGTCCACTATTATACCCATATGCATGCATGATGCTCTACTAATACGTGAACAGACTAATTAATGCATGATGAAAGTGATCGGCTGTCAAATTATCATCATCAACAATTTATCAATTAGGGGAGAGATTTTTTAGTGTGATAGGACATGAGATAGTACACCACATGTCATCAGGGGTGGATCTACCTTGGGGCAAGGTGGGTCAGCTGACCCTCCAAAGCTTAGAAATCTTTAATGGAAGAGCTTGGTGCTGCCCTTCGAAAACATCCCTTCAAAAATATGAGATGCCCTTAAAAGCTAATCCTCCAACAATTGCTCGACGAATTGCCAATGTGGACACTAAGTGAGTGGTTGCTAGCCTTATGCCTTAGTATGTGCTATGGGCATATGGCGATAGGCTCACTAGGCATATGTTAGCATATGTCGGCATACTTGCTCAAAAGCTACCGACATCAGTCGACATGATCATCAAAAGCTGTTGGCATCTGTCAACAAGCGTGCAATATGATTTGGCAAATGACCTTAGGCTTACCAAGGCTCGATGACATGTCAATTTGCATGCTATTTCGTCCAAAAAATTTTGGACGCTGCGCTCGCTATTCTTACTGACCCCCCAAATAATATTTCTTGGATCCGCCTTTGCATGCCACTATATAAGTGGTGAGATACTTGTGTTACAAAAATTAACAATTTAAAAAATAAAACTTCCCTTCACTTGTATAATAACACGTGATGTATCACTCGTATTCCGAGTACAATGAAAAGTCTCCGCTTAGTGGATGGTTGTAGTTGGCAAATGTAGTAACCCATGTACATTTTAAAATTTTAATATCACAATTAACTTACATGCATGGAAATTTGTTTGCATTAATTTGCTTTAACTAAAAGTAGATATTTTAAAATCCTAAAATGCTCCTCAATATGTAATACTAGCATATTCACTGGTTTGATTACACTAACACGCTTTGAGGTTTATATACCTTTCACAAAAACCTCTCACATTTCAGACATTACACTAATACCCCCCTTAGGTTTTAATTTACTTTTACATAACCTTTAAGTCAAAATTTTTTGCTAATAAATTGATAACTTTACCCTTATAACTAATTACTTAAACAGTAAAAGAAATTAGTCTCCATAGCATTACCGTCGTTGAAATAAGAATTTGACAAAGAACCAGGACACCTCTTGTTGTATATATACCTACATGCAAAAACTCTTAAGTACTTCAGAATACTCAATACTTTGAATATTTTTATTGTTAAATCTTAATTTTTGTGATTTTAAACAAAGATTTAAAAACTCAAAATATTAGGTATAACACCCAAAAAGAGTCTCATCTTCATGTGGGAAAGTGCTAAAGCCAAGTGTTGTGTGAATTCAAATTTTGTTCACACAAAGACATCTCTTGGTGTGTATATCATTAATGTAGGTAGTTGGCTTGTCACCTCAAGTGCACTAAAATATTGAGTTATGAGTCTCATTTTCATGTGGGAAAGTGCTAATGCCAAATGTTGTGTGAATTCAAATTTTGTTCACACAAAGACATCTCTTGGTGTGTATATCATTAATGTAGGTAGTTGGCTTGTCACCTCAAGTGCACTACAATATTGACTTATATGCTCGTTTTGTTTCACACTCAACTACAGCTGCCTATATTAAAAGTCGTTCATGTGATTTTAAGTCTGGGTGAATTACAAGTAGATTCTCAAATTTGAGTGCAACTACAATCTCATATATCGTTTTCAAAACATTAATTGCAATGTCATACACAAAGCTAGGTCTTAATTGCAATGTTATACATCTGTCAGTCAATCTATCAAATTGATTGTTAAGTGATGATATTGTAAGGGTAAGTTCCACGTATTTGTTGACGTGGATACCACTCATTTACCATGTATACAAAATGCAAACAAATTTTTTTTTATGTTGTAATGTAATATGTAGATGGCCCACATGAATAGTTTATTACTATTCATCCAAAGAAAAATCATATGGGTTATTATTCATATGAAGAAAGTTTGTAAAGCAAATAGTGTTGCTACAATAATTTTTTTCCTATAAAATGAGAGCATACGAAGGAAGGAAAGAAGAGAAAACAAAAGAAGAGAGATACAGAATAAAATACCAGTGAGATGGGTTAGAGATAAGAGATAAAATAGTGAGAGTTATCTTTATACTTCTATTATTTCAAGTAATGAAAGAAAGTACTAATGCTGCCTCGAGGACGTAGGCATACTTGCCGAACCTCATAAATATTGTGTCTCATTTACTTTATGTTCCATTGCACACATACCGTCGATTCTATAACACGTTATCAGCATGAGAAGCTCTCGCCTAAGCGAAAAACGCTACACAAAATCCAAACCGAAACAATGGTTCAAGATGACATCATTCTTAGAGATGGGAGCCAATGGGAGAGGTGTGGTTCTGGTTGTGCACAAAAAAAGAAAAAAAAATGTGAATGATCAATCATTCACGTGTGAAATAATAAAAAAGGGGAAATGAGGCCAGACTTTTCATGTGAAAAGAAGAAAAAACAAAAGATAGAGACTTAACCATTGCCTTTTCTGTTTTGGCATATTTATGTGAATGATGCTAGTTTAAAGTCTTATCACAAGTTCTATTTATTTAAAGCAATTTATTTACAGTGGGTGAAGTTATTACCCTTTGCTTTAAGCTTTGATATTTATGTGAATGGTGCTAAATCAAAGCCCTTGTCACAAACTTTATTCACTTAATAGCAATTTATTTATCATGGCTGGAATTACCACATATTGCTTTAATTTATTTAGTGTACTACATTTTGTTATGATGAGTATAACAAGGATCCAAAGTTCCTTGATCAGATTAGAACCTGAAGTTTCTTGATCATTATCATATAAAAAGATTGGACCCGAAGTTCCTTGATTAAAAATCAAAACCTGAAGTTTTGAATCAACTGAGAGAGCAGCAGTTCCTCAACTAAATTAAAATGACGGTCACAAGTACCTCAGTCCACAAACTATTAAATGAGGGCCAGAAGTTCCTTGATTCATTTAAATGAGGATTATAAGTTCCTTAATCCATGTACATATTAAGTATGGGCATGAATTCCAAAATATGAACCTAAAGGTTCTAATGATGTCAATATTGAGAATAAATTTCGAGTACATATGAATAATGTTTTGACCTAAAGTTCAAAATATGAAGAATGTTAAGAACTTGAAGTTCTAACATTTGGTGTAGACATATGTTATATGTGGTATGAGTTAATTATCACAATTTTTGGCATACCTGAATTTTTTCCTTTTGGGAATAAGAAAATGGTGAACTTAACAAAACCCGATTTTGTGACCATTGACATCTTACACAAGACAAAATTTTCATGAATTCATAATGCCTGAGAATTCATGTGGAAGCATATGATATTAGAAAACATCTATACTTAAAGGCTCATTGAATCATATTCATGGAACCAGAAGTTTCCATCGTCTCTTCATTAATTCATTAATTATGGAACCAGAAGTTATATATAATGAGCTAAAGTAGAAACTTTCAGACATGTATAAAATCAAATGGGAGAAATTTTTTTTTTATACATACACATGCATACACATGAGTTACAACTACAAAAACAAACAAATTTGGGGGGGGGGGGGGGGGCGCTTCACAAAGGTTGCTTATGTAAAGCCTTAATACTTGGCAATACCCTAGAAGGGAGAGCCACATGAGATTGATCATGTGACGCCCCAATACTTGGTAAAACACCAGAGGGGGAAGGCATCAGCTGCCTTCGAAATCTAGCTACGAATCTTTGGTGATCACTTTGAATCCAACTTTTGGATTCCTGCAGTTGGTCGAGCTTTTTTTTCATTTTCGTCGAGTAAATATTTGCAAGTTTGTAGAACTCGTTATTCTCGTGCTTGAGCCATCTGATCTCTTGTCTAAGACTTGTCACCTCATCCATTAATGTTTCAACTTGGCGAGTCCAAGCAAGTAGGCGTTGGCCCATGTTGGATACAAAACCAGCACATTGAACACTAAAAGCCAAAGAGTCTTGAACAGTCAATTCATCAAACCTATTTGAAAGTATTCTTTTATCTCTGGGAGTGAGAAAGTTCCTAGCTACTACTGTAGCCGTTATATCATCTTTCATCACAGAGACTCCAATCGTAAGAGGGTCATTAAAAGATAAGAATGACAGGCACCATATATTATCCTAGCGCAGGACGTGTGCATCTCCCCCAAGACTCAAATCTAAACAAGGGTTGGATAGAGTGAAATCTCATAAATACAACATAGACAATTTTCACAGGCGGGCAATCTTCAAAGCGTGTATTTTGGATACAATTGATACCTCTATAAAATGAGAGGCAACACAGCCACTTATTCAAAAATCGAAAAAACACTGCTCTCTGAGTTTCAAAAGCCATCATGCATAAAGTTTGTCAACATTTTCTCAGTTTCTGGATATCAAGGACAAATATACAAAGTGTCTCTAACAAAGTTGAAACGCGTAAAGTTCACTATTCCAACTACACCACTATTGCTGACAAATGTGGGTGACAAGGCCACATCTGCACCACTACCTGCTATTGAGAAATCCCTATATATGTCGATCTTCGTCCTCCATGGCAAGACACACCTCCAAAATGCCTAATTCATCTTCCTTGCCAAGAATGCATCTGCAATTAAACCTCTCAACATATTCAGTCTTCATTTTCTCTGAGAATACCTCTTTAACCAAGTCCCTCAAAATGCTAAACTCATTTTCTCAGCAAGAAATATTTTTGATCGAGAAGCTTTACATCAGCATCAAATCCTTCTACTGTTTTCATTCAAGAGCAAGAGTATCTCATATCATGTTATTTCCCTGTATTTTCCTTTGCCATTGCTCTTACCTACAAGACAATGAGAAAGAAAGCAATTAGTCAGAACCTGAAATCAAACTTTCGGCCTATAACTGATTGCATAAAACCTTTGCCTTTTTGCTTA